CAAAAAAAAAAAGGGCTATGGGGGCTGAGGATTGGGGTTGGGGGGGTAGACAAGTGAAAAGCAGCTAACACAGCAAACTGAGGCTTTGGAAGATTCAGTCTAATGTTGAATAATTCATCACCTTCCCTCTCAGTCTCCCTAACTATTAGAGTTACAAAGAGCTGTAATAGTGAAAAATAATGCTGCGGAAAAGACTTATAAACGGAACGGGAATATAGTGCAGAAATAAATAATGTTACTCAGTCAGCCTCATTTCCAGGGGATGGGCAGCAGTAATTTAAACTTTCATATTTAGACAAAGAAATGAAATTAGAGTGACATGTGCTTGTTTTTAGTCACACTTTGTTGTGCAATAAAAAAAAAGAAAGAAAAAAAAAAGTATGGAGGTAAACTGCATTAAAAGGGGGATGAGCCTGTCTGACCGCCAAAACACCATTATTTCCTTATACAACATTATATAAATATTTAAAGTTGTGGTGGTCTGAATGAGTCGTTACTTGCTGTCTCACACAACATAAAGCAGATCACTTCCAAGTAGCACCGATCATAACTACACTGTGTTCAATAGAAACCATTATTTCTAACTATCATCCACAAGCTGTGCATGGAGCAGCAGATCAGGTGCCAGTGTTAAGTTGTATGGAAATCCTGTACCCACTTTGCTGTTTTCAGCATTTTTACTTAATTTTATGCCACTGCGTCCACTGTATTTACCTTTATTAAGTCACATGAAAGTGACACTGGGCGGCTACAGAATGACCACACACAAATCTACACACTTCGTACTGGTTAGTTATAACTCTGTTCTGTTGTTTATGCAGGAGATATTGGTTCACAATGGCTCATTCATCCTGTGTGTCACTGTGTCCTTTTCACCTGTGTTTCATGTTTTATTCTTGAAATGCAAATGCTGCTGTGTCACATTTTAAGATATAATATGACAATTTAGTAGACTCAAAACTTAAATAGAGTTGAATTAATGCAATCATATGTATTTACTCCTGTCATTATTGTACTAATTAATTGTTTAAGGAACCCCATATCATCTGTCTCTGGCTGCAGATTTGTGTTGCTGTGTAGTCACATTGTGCCGCTCTGCACCATCCAAACAATATGATTTCCTGGAGAAGCTGATTCCTCACTTGTTGAGGTGTTGTCATCATACATTACTGTGATTGGCACAGATGTGTCAGTGCTATAAGACCAGTGATATGACTGGCTGAGAGTGTTTTTATTAATGCGCTTGGAGATGCCCACACAGTCTGTATTCCCAAGACCTACTGCTTTGCACTTGTCATTGCACTTTTGTTTTATAGGTTTTAACATCAGTTATTAGTCTGAAACATAGACTTAAAACAGCTCAGTAAAAAAGTCTGACACAAACGGAAGTCATTGCAAAACCACACACAGGAAGAACAATACTTTTTCCATAGCAGCCTTGAGATTAACAACTGCTATAGGTGTCGGAAATTTACATTTATATCATATATAAAGAAAACTCCATGCAGAAATTATCTCAGTCTATTGACCTAACCCAGAAAAGACATCACCCATGTTTCCACCACTGAAGAATGAAACAATAAAAGACCAGATGCAGACAGTCCATCTGGGATCAGGGTTGGGGTACAGTGGGCTTGAAAGGAAGAAGCTGGCATCACTACCCTGGGAGGGGTTAGCTAGCTGCTTGGCTGCCCAGGGCCAATATTAAATGCTCCCACATGCTGGATTGCAGCTTGATCAAGAGAGAAAGAAAAAAAAACAACAAAAAAAAAACAACACACACTGACTGAAACACACATACAAGAAGTGTTTCTGCATCTTTGCACGGCCATTAAGCATGTATACTTACTAGCAGTGAGTGAGGCGTGGTGCTTCCAGCGCTCATGTATGAATGATGTATTTTTCTTAGGGCACATTCACAACCTCCAGCTAAAACCCTGCACCATACACAATGCACTTCTCTTCCTTACTCCTCATCTCTTAAGTGTTCTTCTTCCTCTCTCAACTGAATCTTTTCTACCCTACAATCATTTTCTTTAGTTCACCATCACCTTACATAAATTAATAAAATTACTTGTTGTTCTTGTACAGTAAATCTCTAACCAAGCCCTTCACTACTGTGGTATTCGTACTAAGGAAGATAAAAAAGTCATGAATGTGAATTGGTAAAACATTTTGAATGAACATTCGGCACATTACTTAAAAAATGCACATATCCACAGTTCAATACAGCACAAAGAACAGTGCAAGAAGTGTTTGGCATTAGGTGAACACTGGATCTTAAATGTTGCCCTAAGATTAGACATCTGAGAACTGTTTCTGGCAAAACATTACACATCTGGTGAGTCATTATTTGGTGATTCCTTTAACGAGCTGAAACGCAATACTTAAACGAAATGTGCAGCAATTACATGATAATGGTAAATAATGTAAATAAACAATTTTAATTAAACCCTAGCCCAGCTGGCTATACAAATTTGGATTGGCATTTAAAATAAAAGTTAATGTGATTATACCAGGAAACCACCAAGTATAAAATATATGGCCAGTTCTTTCCAGTGTGCGACACAGCTGCAAATGTTTCACAATAAAAACGTTCCATGGAACTATTATGGCTTTTAATCATCTGCAGAAAATGTTGAGTTTAATTTACAGCAAAAGAATCGGAGATAGGAGTTAGGAACACCTTGCACTGAGCTGTAATTGCAGCTGGGTTGTAAAGATAAAAATCATAATAATAATAAAAACATGCAGTACATCCACTGTATTTAACATTTGCAACACTTATTAACAGAAGTCACAAGTCATTTAATTTCAAACTGGATAGGTCAGTCAACTAAAGGCCTAAATTGTAAATTTAATTTTCTCAGAGTCTCAAATGTTTTGCTGTAATCTACGACATTTATTTGACATGTCTCTCTATATCCACCACTGAATACAACTATGAAACTAAACAAAAGCACACGACACACAAAAAAGGACATAAACTGATAAGAAGCAGACCTTCGGATCTAAACTGTTTTTTGTTAAAGGGCCTATTTTTAGTTCTGCAGCCACTGGTTTGGTCTGGCTTCAAACTGCGTCTGGCCTTCACCAGCCACCAACACACTCACAATGAGAGAAGAGCCTCACCAAGCACAGGCAGCACGGTGTGTGTCTATATATATTTTGACATATATGATGGATAAAAACAGTTACTCTGTCCTCAGTGTGGGAAGCTCTGAATTAGGATGAGAAGATTAGAACATGTTAACTAGGTGAGTCACGTGTCTCCATTTGAACCATGATATTAATGTAGTTAGCATATATGCATGTTATTACATATATACTTAAAGGCTGAGGAGGAAGTGCAAGAAGCAGTGAGCAGACTGCAACACCAGGAGGTGGTTGGAAGGGTCTAGACAGGACTGGCAGGCCTCGGCTGGGGTGAGCCACCCACCACATGGTCCAGAGCAAACAAGAAGGAGAGGAAGGATCTTGTTGTGTCTGAGGTCACCAGAATGGAGCAGGAGGAGTACAGAGTGCAGGCTGTGGCACAAGGGCAGCGGGGGGGGAGCTGGACAACATGGGAGGGTGTCGCGAGCAGAGCGGTCAACTGGGCAGACATTTGGAAACTCAGCTTGACTCGACTCAGCTTTTTAATCAGGGCAACCTATGGCACACTACCATGTCCTCGCAACCTGCACCAATGGTGAACAAACCTGCGACCTCTGTGGGACCACCAACGCCTCCGTCCAGCACTGTCTGTCAAGTTGCAAGACTGCACTGACACAGGGAAGATTCAGATGGCGTCACGATCAAGTGCTCAGGAAGCTGGCAGAGGTGGTGGAGGTAAAAAGGCAAGAGGCAAGCGAGGAGAGCCCAGCGGCGAGTAAGCAGCAGGTCCACTTCCTTAGGCCCGGGGAGCCAGTAACCAACACCAACAGGAGACCAGCACCCAAGCTCCTGACTCCAGGTTTGGAGTGGAAAATAGAGGTGGGCCTGGGCAGGTAGTTCCATTTTGCCAGGGAAATGCTCAGTACCACACCGTGCCCAGACATGGTTCTGTGGACCTCGGATGGGAAGTCATCTCTGCTGGTTGAGCTGACAGTTCCATGGGAAGAGGGGGTGGAGGCAGCCCATGAAAGGAAGAGAGCAAAATGTGCTGACCTGGTTGCGGAGTGCAGGGAAAGTGGATGGAATGTGACGCTCCACCCGGTGGAAGTGGGCGCTAGAGGCTTTGGCGGAGACTCAACAACACATCTGCTAAAGGACCTCGGGCTACAGGGAGCCAGGCTGCACAAGGCAACCAGGGAGGTATCGGAGGAGGCAGAGAAGGCAAGGTTTTGGCTCTGGCTAAGAAGGGGGGACAAGACATGGGGAGCAAGCAAATCCCGAAGAAGGTTAGCTGCAGGTGGTGTCAGGGAAACGTCGCTGTTCACTGACCCGCCACCAGGAGATGTTCTAGGTTAATGACCGGTGGTTCCTAGCTGATGACCCTGCTGCTAACAAGTGGGCACCAGTGGAGGTGCGGCAGGCCTAGAGCCCAGCAGGAGAAAACATCTACCTGTTCAGATTACATGATTTGGGATACAATAAGACAAGGAAAAAAGCTAAAGTAATTGTGCAATGATGTGGCGATAAGAAAAACAACCTAAAGACCTCATAACACATGTCCCTCAAAAGAAGTACAAGTAATAAATTAATGAATGAATGTATGTGTAAATGTTAATGACACCGGCCACCGGTGCAATAAAATAATGAAATGTAGCTATAGATATGAGGAGTAAAATGTACCACAAACACACACAGTTGTGTAGTGTCAGTGTGCCGGTCTAATGCAGTATAAACACCATGGAAAAGGTGGTTCTTTTTTTTTTTTGTCTGTGTTTCTGAAACCATCTCTGGCCCACAGGTTGAAAACTAAAGGAAGCTTTTGTTCTGAACAGTGTGAGTGGGAGGCACAGCCAAAGTACAGTGCATGCTGTTAGTCATGAAAGATTAGCACATCTTCTGCTCACCTGAGTGAGAATATCCAGTTGACCTATGATGTGTTCCAGGGTGCTGGCCAGACCAGGGGGGACGCCTCCATCTGAAGTCTGGGACTGGGATGAATGCTGTGGTAAACCCTGGGTCTGTGTCTGATGGGTGGTGGAGGAACTGGTGCTGGGGTTTCTGTAGGTGTGGGAATGTGTTGCTCTACTGTGGCTGCCACTGCGACTGCTGCTCTGAGTGTGGGCGGCGGTTTGGAAGTCCTGTCTGTTGAAATGTTCTGATGGGTCAGAGGTCTGAAAACAGAGAGAGAGGAGCGTGAAGAGCAGTTAAAATTCAGATGCTGTCTGATATGTTTCACATACAATATGGTATTGATATAAGAACATGTCATTTGTAGAGGGGTGTGTCGTCAACATAGAGTTGTGTGCAAAAGTTTGCCCACACTGGGAAAATGACATACTACGTGAAAAGAAGTAAATATAACCCCTGCAGCAAATAGACATTAAAATGAGCCTTTCTTGAAATGTCAGTTCACTGTTACCTTTCACTTCATTAACTCACCCTGCTAAGTCAACTATGGGGGGTGGTAATAATTCTACTTTGGGGTTGTGTGACAGCCAGTGGCACAGGAAACATTGTACAGATAGAGGGAAGAATGGATTCCACTAACTATAAGAAAATTCTGAAAACTGAAACTGAAAGTGGGCTGCCTTCTACAACAGGACAATGATCCAAAGCAGACCTCAAAATCCACGATGAACTTAACTCAAGAAACATAAGCTGAAGCTTTTTGAGCGACCTTCACAGTCCCCTGACTTGAACAAAAATCTGTGGGTAGATCTTAAACATACTTTGTGTGCAAAACAGCCTAAAAATATCTCACAACTTGAAGTGATTACCAAGGAAGAGTGGATGAAAATGAACAAATCAAAAATAGAAAGACTCTTAAGTGTTAAGAGTGTTTGAAGCCATTTACAAGTGTTTGCAAGCTGTGACATCTGCCAAAGGACTAACTTATAGAGTGCCCAAACCTTTGCATACAATCGTATTGTGGTTCTTCTTTCAGGAATACTGAAATGTGTAACACTATTATTGTCTATATTTTTGATGTTCAACAAGTGCACTCTCCAAAGGGAGATGACTTAAACAGTGCATCAAGGTTGCTATTTATTTAATCATTAAACCGGAAGAAGACCTGAAAATAGATGCCAAGTCACTCTTAAAAACTGAAAATAAAGACTCTGGTATTTTTCAACAAGACAGAACAAAGTGCTAAATTAAATAATCAATGAATTGCAAACTGGTTTTCTGAAGGATCGTCACCTTGTGTTAGTGCGACATAGTGACAATAGTTGTAATATTAGATCTCCAGACAACAGACTTGAGACCTACTCAGCCCATAATATATTTATCACCAACAATCTTTTTATATTATTGAATGAGCAACACATTTTGCTCAGAACTTCATCAGACTCTGTTTATGGGCTGAGTGTGTGGGTGATACCACAAACATTTGTGACTCAAATGTTGTTCTGAGCAGTTACCATCATCTCTTGATGCACATATTTTGCACAAAACTCTTAATGTTTTATATTGGGCATATATGGTCAGGGGTGAACCAAACATGGAGTCTGTCCAAAGTTTGATGCATTCTGTCAAATTCCAATTTAGTTCTGGTAACATTAATTTGGTTTTAGAAGGTTTTAACTTGACCAATAAAAATTTAACAATAAATACAGAAATTTTTTAACTTTATAACTAATTTTATAACTAAAAATGCATGACCACTCATTGATTAGATTATATGGAAAAAATTGCTATTGCCAGCATAATAAAGAACACGTGTACAAAGTCTTTCATCAAATTATTATGCATTTGTCATTGTAACAGAAAATGCAGATTACTAAGAAGAAACAGAAGTTTCACATTTAAGAAGCTGGGCCTGGGACTTTTTGAATTTCATTTTCTTTCCATCAACAAATTGATTGACTTTCAGCAAAATGCTAAATATTCACTTTTCCTTTGTTTTGCTAAAGAAAGTTAGAACTTAAAATGGAAACTGTAGATGGAAACCAATTAACATCGACTTGCTTGAATGGATTTTGTTTCAGTAAAGGAACCTGTTACTCTGACTTCAGAGAGGATATGGAGTCAAAAGAGGGAAAATGTTGACTCTCTCTTTCTCTCTCTCTCTCACACACACACACACACACACGCAAATCGCCACTCAGTCTGCCTGTGTTGTGATTAATTCAATGAGACATAAACACATGGAGGTCAGTGACCACATCTCTCCGTCACCATGTCTGTGACTAAAAACTGTGTGCACACATCTATAGGTTTCTTCATATTTCTGTCCGTCTCTGTAGACCTCTGTCTGGTTGTGAGGAATGGTGGGTATGTGTGTGTTGTGTGTGTGTGCATATGTTCCAAGACAACATCTCTTCTGCATCTCAGCGAGGTAGAGAACAACTGTTTTACTCATCACCACACAACAGGAAATCTATTCACACTCAGCTAAACATGTTCAAGACTGCAGTGTCACACTGTGCCGCTCCTAAATGAAGCCAGATGAGCGGAGTTGTCAGCTGTCGCCTGGCTCAAAATATTTGCCACAGACAGAGGTAATACATACTGCCACAATCAAAGGGGCTGTGGTTCCCAGAAGTCACATACAGTGCACAATGACATGTTCCTTGATAGGCTATATCACTTATTATTTTTTAATGATGCTTTGTAAGTTCTGAAAAAAAAAATCATAAACATTAAGTCATTTATCATGGCCAGAAACTGTAAAAACAGAGGGTATCATCAGATTTTCAACTTTCTGACCATCCTTGAACTGTGCTTCCAATCAGGAAAAATAACCAGATCTATCTATCTTAAACTTGTGAAATTTCATCAAAATTACTTTATACTATATGTCTCATATAAAATATTGCCAAAAATGTCCAACAAATAATACAAAGTGTAAAATTGTAGACTTTGGATATTGCATGAAAGTGATTAAGAATAAAACAATATAAAAGATGAAAAACCCAGTGCCCTTAAATATGTTGCTGGCTGTTGGTTCAGTACAGTTGGTTCAGCACTCAATATGGTCTCAGCACTCTACATAGTGCATACCTAAACTGAGCAAACAGACGAGTATATTTCTAATACAGAGGAAAGAAACTATCCAATTACTCTGTGTGTTTTTTTGGTCAAAATCAAAATGTACCTCTGACATTGTGCACACCAGTTTGTGCGGCTGTCACCAGTGTCACAGCTGTGTTACCAGGCACTGAGATCCCAGTAATTCTTGGGAATTCACTCTGAATTTTTAACATGAGAGCTTGTGTGTCTGTATGCATCTATGTGTTTTGTGAGCTTTGTGAGAGTATTTTTTAGATTGAGTGAAGGAATTAGAATAATCTTTGAACAGAAACTACATAGATCATTCGACAAGTGCATTAATTAACATTGCGAACTACAACAGTGGGGTGAATTGCAAAGCTGCATTCAACGAGTGGGGAGTAACAAGTGGACATTGCCCTAACATTACACCTGAAAGTTCAAAACAACACACTGAAATAGCTGCATGCAGTGAATTTTACTTCACTGCCACTGTTCACAAAAGAACATGATGAGATTGATGATCTCAGCTGATCCACCTACAGTGGACTAGGGATGTCACGAGAACTGATACTTGTGACGATACTTGTGATTCTTCCAGGACTTATGAGAGCAATATAATAACACTACAAGTGTCCTTGTCTGACATCAAACTCTGAGAGAAGAAGGCACAGTAAACAATAACAATACATGGAATGGCAGCTCTGTGACAGATCCGCGGCGACTTGCAAAAAGAAAAGAACACACACACCATGGCTGGTGTATGGAGATATTTTGTATTTGACACAGACCAGTAGAGACTTGATAAAATGATTTTTAAAAAAAAGTAAAAATGATGATGATCTGAAGCCACTTCACCTCAGTGTCCAAATGTGTCTACACATCTTTGCAAATAAAGGAACCCCAATATTCTTTGAGGCTTGAACAAATAAATGAGAAATTAGAAAAACATTAGAAAAATAGTTACATACATACATTCAACATACTGTACATTCAACAGAACTGTGTAGTCACAATATCAAAATATTGTCATATTGTCACCAATGATTTCACTGAAAGATTAAAACTATATATAAAGTATGAGTTAGATTTACCTTTTACCTAATTTACTGTTCTGATCTTCTGTTGGTGGTTGACAGGGAAGTGAGGGAGAGAGATAGAGATAGAGATAGGGAGAGAAAGAGAGAGAGAAGAGTGAGAGAGGGACAATAGAGCAGTTCTGCTGAGCCTACAAGCTCCACCAAGACTGGATTAACTCTTGTTGAGAGTACGACTTACAGCTTTGTATTAAAACAGCTGCTTAAACACACAGACACCAAGCACCAATCCCCACATTAACACGCATCCTCATGCAGAAAAGCAGAGGCAAACATAGATGTAGGCATATGTGCATACACGTATGCACTAGGTGTCACACACATGATCACATACAAAGGATTTGTCCTTAGGTGCTTAAAGAAAAAAAAAGAAAAGAAAGAAAGTCGGTAAAGGGGTCTGAAAAGTCGATTAATCTAGCGACACTTGTTGCTAGATTTGTTGTTCATGCTAAATCATTTTTGAAAAAGCAACGACAAATGGGGAAACACAAACAACTGGCCGGCCGAATGGTGTAACCTTCTCGCTCAGACACATGGCATTAGGCTGACCAATGGTCTAACTTCATCATTCAGTCACTGAGTCATATAAACAAACAAATGATTTAAGCCAAAAATATTTTCAAATTTGAACAGATATACTGTTTTGTTCACAACAATTCCTGTTGCTGACAGTTTTTCATCTTTTACACTCTTATAAAAAATTTGCACAAATCCCTTGTTCATGATTTTTTTTTTTTCATTGTACGCTTAACAATCAAACCTGAACTGTGTTATCATCGCTAAACTGCCTTTCAGGTTAGTCATGAAAAAGAAAAATGGATTACACAGTGTACCACTGTGGTTCTAATTTGCCTTATTACATAACATCCTTTGCAATTTGACATGTACATAGTGATGTTGATGCTAAAACAATATACTGCTCTGCAAACTCAACACATCCTGTACCGTCTTAGTCTTACGAGGGGCCAAGGAAAACCCCGATACGCAAAAGTGTACACACATGCTCAGGCAAACACAGCGCACACAGTAACCACCCTCCTAATGAATCACCTGGAGTGGAAAAACCAACAGTGGAAAATTTC